CGCCCGCGCTCGCGCTCGCGCCCGCGCCCGCGCCTGGGCCCACGCCCGCGCCGGCGCCCGCGCGCGCCCCCGCGCCTGTCTCGGCAGCGTGAGCAAAGAAGGAAGAAGGCGCGGCAGACAGCGCATCGGGGCGCGCCTGCAGGATGCCGCTCCAATGCAACATGCGGGCGCGACGCGCGCGGCGCAGTGCCCGCGGGCCAGGAACGCCCGAGCGAGCGAGCGAGGCGCAGGCAGAGGTCTGGGGGCCAAAGGAGGAGGAGGGCGCTGGGCCGACAGAGAAGCGCAAGGGGCGAGACGAGGCATCGCCTCCGCTCTGGAGCCCGACGCCGCGCCCACTGGCCCCGGCGCTGGCGCGGGGGCGCTGGCGCGGGGGGCCGCGGCGCCCCCTCCGCGGGGCCCCCGGGCCTGCCGCCGGAAATGGCGTGAGAGGGCGCGGTCCGCAGAAACATGAATGGTGGTGGGCCTGTTTTCCACCACCACCACCATAAGTTGGAGGGGGAGGGTGCCCTCCTCCTCCTCCTCTTCGTCCTCCTCCTCTTCGTCCTCCTCCTCGTCCTCCTTCTTCCCCCCTCCAACTTATGGTGGTGGTGGTGGAAAACGCTCCCATCAAATGGAGTGGGATCGATGAGCTGGCAGAGGAAGTCGGCCCGGAAGTCGCGCGGGGCCGGAGTGCCGGCGCCCGCTGGTCCGCGAGGCGATCTGGGCAGCCGCCGCGCGCTGGGCCGCGCAGGGCGCGGGCAGGCTCTGCAGCATCGGGCCTTGCTTGGCAGGGTGGCTCGGCCCCCCCCAGCTTAGTCGTCGCCCGGGCGGGTTTGGCGGGGCGCTCTTCGAGCATCGTCTAAAGGGGGTTTGCGAGGATGAGTTGCCCGCGTCAGGTCGCCAAGGGGGGGCCCCACATCCGCCTCTGGATTCGGGCTGCCCCCGTTCGTCGAGGGGGGCGGCAGCGCGGGGCCACGCGCGGGCTGGGCAGAGGCCGGAGCTGCGCCGCCGCCGGCCGACGGCGACGCGCCGATGGCTGGGGGGCCGCGGGGGTCGTCGGAGGTGGGATCGCGCCGAGGCGTCCCTGTGCCCATGAGAGAGCCTGGCTGCGGAGCCCAAGCCAGGTGTGCAGATCCAATTTCGAACCCCGCTCCCCTAGGGGAGCGAAGAATGACATAAACATAAAAACTCGGAGGTCCGCGCGGATTTCTCGGATCGGCGCTGGACCCCCCTCCCTGGCGTGCGGAGCGCGCCAGGGGCGGCGCCAGAGGCGCCGCCAGGGGGCCCCAGCGCGGATCCGAGGAATCTGCACGGATCTCCGAGATTGTATGTTTCTGTCGCTGCTTGTTCCCCCAATTTTCATACCCCTCTTCCCCCCCCCTATCTCGTCCACCCCGAGCATTGCGCGGTTCCCTTTGGCGCAAGTTACCTGGGCGACTCTGGAAGCCTTGGATCCAAGAGTGTCGACGTCTCGCCAACCTTTCGCGGGCGGACCAGGATCCATTTCATGTCCTTCCGCTGGCTTCTGCCGAAAGCGGGGTGCGCCGAAGGTGGTACCGTTTCTGGAGCGGCCAACTATCCGTATCGATGGGGTCGCGCTTCCAGCTGCCCACCCGCGGACTGCCCCGCCTAGGATGAAAAGGGCGCGTGGGCGCGCTGCCGACGTCGAACGCGATTGTGCATTCAAGGCCACCCACTTTTTTATCCCAGCCGTCCTGTGTTCTGGGGTCCTCGTTTTGAATCCGCAACGCCCCACGTCTCATCCTTCCCCTCCTCCTCCTCCTCCTCCTCCTCCTTCTCCTCTCTCCTCCTCCTCTTCTTTCTGCGCCAGACTTTTGCAATCCATGTTTCCCGTCTCCCTTGCCTACTTTCCTTACCTCTGCTCTCTAGATGTCCATGCCGGCACAACCTTCACACGTTCCGTACCCCCACAGGGAGCTCCACCAACATCAGCGGGCACGACCGCATGGCGCTCCCGCGCCCAGTTCGGCACTCCCCTCAGGCGGGCCGCGGCCCCACAAGAGCACCGTCTGCAGCAGTCTCAGGGGGCACGACCGCATGGCGTCCATGCGCATGCCGGCACATCTCTACATAGGGAGTTCCACACACGGTCTCAGTCGGCACGACGGCGCGGCGTGTGGGCACACCTCTCACACGTCTCGAGGCAGTGTAGGGAGCTCCACGTACTGTATTGGTGTGCAGGGCCGCACGGCGGCCCCGCGCCTAGTTCGGCACTCTTCTCACACGGTCAGTGCCCCCATAGGGAGCTCCACCTCATGCCTCGGACGGCGCCTTCGAACGCCGCCCCTGCGCGCAGTTCGGCACACCCCTGACGCGGGGTGTCCCAGAAGGAGCCCCCCTTTGCGCCGCAGTTGCGCGATCCGCATGCCTGTTCCCCCCGCGCCCGTTTCGGCACACCCCCGCGCTCGTTTCGGCCTCCTCCTCGCCGCTTCGAGCTCACAGGGGTCAGAACCAGTGCTGATGGAGTCGCTGCCCTGAGAAGGCCTCGCCAGCGCCGGTCCTCGGGGCATCCGCTTTCGCGGCGGGCGGCGCCCTGCGCCACTCGGCCTCATCGGGCCGTTCGGCCAAGCCGCCTTCTCTTTGGACACCCGACATGGGCACGGAACTAATGGCGGACTTCGGAAACCCTGGACACAATTATAGCCGGAGTGCAGTATCCCCAAACAGGGTTTTTAGACCCACTGCGGTTTCCAAGGTCGATTGCGTGCCTGTCCAGTGCGGGCTGGCATGGCATGTTAAACATGCCTCCTCCTCCTCCTCCTCCTCCTCCTCCTCCTCCACCTCCTCTTCATCCCGAACGGCATCTCGGAGCCCAGAGTTGCGAGGATGTGTCTCCAGCGTAACGGGCTGGACCACCTCGCGCGCGGCATTTCGGACCCCAGAGTTGCGACGATGTCTCGGGCGAAACGTGCTGCGAGGAAGTCTCAGGCGAAACGGGCCGGACCACCTCGAGCGCGGCGTCTCAGGCGAAACGGGCCGGACCACCTCGAGCGCGGCGTCTCAGAGCTCCGAGTTGCGGGGGCCTCCTGGGGCCTCCTGGGACCTCCTGGTGACCTCCTGGGGCTTCCTCCTGGGCCTCCTGGCCTCCTGGACCCCACCTGGGGCTTCCTGAAGCCTCTTGGGGCTCCCAGGAGGGGATATCTAACATGTGGCCGTCGGGGCCCCCCAAAATGGGGGCCACAAGAGCAGGAAAAATCAACGAATCGACACCGGATGTGTATTAACTTGACACGTTCTGATAGGGGGCCTCCTGGGGCCTACTGGGAGCCTCCTGGGAATCTCCTGCGGACCCCTGGGGCCTGTCCTGGGCGTCCTGCGGCCTCCTGAAGCTCTCTGGGGCCTCCTGGGGCTCCCGGGGGGGATATGTAACATGTGGTCTTCTGGGCCCCCAGGCTGGACCACCTCTTGTGCAGCATCTGAAAGCTCAGAGTTGCGAGAATGTCTTGTCGAAACGGGCCGGACCACCTTGCGCACGGCATCTCAGAGCTCAGAGATGCGAGAATGTCTCAGGCGTAACGGGCTGGACCACCTCGCGCAGGGCATCTCAGAGCTCAGAAGTTCGAGGATGTCTCAGGCGAAACGGGCCGGACCACCTCTCGCGCGGCATCTCCGAGGTCGGAGTTTCGAGGATGTCTCAGGCGAAACGGGCCGGACCACCTCGCGCAAGGCATCTCAGAGCTCAGAGTTTCGAGGATGTCTCAGGCGAAACGGCCCGGACCACCTCTCGCACGGCACCTCGGGGCTCAGAGTTTCGAGGATGTCTCAAGCGAAACGGCCCGGATCTCTCTCGCGCGGCGTCCCGGAGCGCAGCTTTTTGAGGATGTCTCAGGCGAAACGGCCAATCCCGGCCAACTCAGAAACGAGAGTTGTGAGGCTGCCTCACGCGAAACGGCCCGGACCATCAAATTGTTGTGAGGATGTCCCTGCTTCCACTTCCCTCGGCCGGAGTTAGCTTCTATGACAACAGCACCCCGTTCAGCAAGCTGTTTGGGGAAAAACGTTTTCCTCTCTTGGGTCGACGTTTGCTCCCGCCGCCTTCCGCCGGCGGAGGCGCAACCTCATTTTGCTTCCGCCGCTTTCCGCCGAGGAAGAGATGGCAACTCTGAAGGGGAACTGGGACACACAAATAAATACACACAAATAAAAATATCCCTATATTTTCTCATATTTTCTGGGTTTTTGTCTTCCCCCCACTTCCCATATTTTCCCATATTTTCTGAAAATCGCAGATAAATTGTGTCTGTGTGTTTTTTCCCCTCCTGACCTCTTTGGAACGCCCCAAATGGGTACGATGCCCAACCACAGAGGGTGTCCCAAACCGACGGCGGCCGCTGCCGGGCAGGCAACCTCCTGTCTCAAGACGGGCAGCCCTGAGATCCGCAGAACATCACGACCGGAGCCCCAGACCACATCTTCCTGCGTCACTTTTCAGAGCGGATCGATCTGGGCGAAAACGCCCGTTGTGGAAAAAGTGCGATGTCAGGATCTCAGGGGACTCCGCGGTGACACCGACTGCGAGTCCTGTCCAGAACGGGCAGGACATGCTGCCGGTCTCTGTGTCCATTCTTCTCGTGCCCATTTTGATCGTCCCGGCTCTCCGCGCCGCCGCGGGACGCGCGCGGCCCACGGCAGCGCCCGAGGCAAGACGCGCTCAGCGCTCAGCGCTCGGCGCCGCCGTGCCACTCGCACACCGAGTTGTAGTGCACCTCCGACCAGAAGCTCAGCGTGAGCACCCTACTGCTCTTGGGCAGGGGGACAAGCAAATGCAGAAGCATAAGGACTCGGAGGCCTGTGCGGATTTCTCGGGTCGGGGCCGGACCCCCTTCCCTGGCGCGCGGAGCGTGCCAAGGGGCGGCGTCGAAGGCGTCGCCAGGGGACTCCAGCGCTGGCCCGAGGAATCCACGCGGACCTCCGAGCTGTTATGCGCATGTCCTTGCTTGCTCCTCTGTCTTGGGCTCGGCCGGCAGCACCTCGATGAACGCGTCGGTCAGGTGGTCCGTGAGGACGTGGATCCTCACTCCGAGCGCGTCAGCGGCCGCCTGCAGCGTCACGTGGTCGCCCCACGTCCCCGCCCGCGACATCTCGGCGAGGTAGTCCTCGAAGCGGCCCGGCACGAACCCCTCGGGCGGCGCACACGAGCGGGCGGGGACACGGGGGAAGGCCACCGTGCGGACGCGGCCGCGAAACACCCTCGCGAGAAACCCAACCCTGGGCACCCGTGCGCGAGGTTCACCTAAGTGAAGGGGAACTGGGACACACAAATAAATACACACAAATAAAAAGATTCCCCATATTTCCCCATATTTTCTGGGTTTCTGTCTTCCCCCCCACTTCCCAAATTTTCCCATATTTTCTGGGAGTCGCCGATTAATTGTGTCTGTGTGTTTTTTCCCCTCCTGACTAAGGGGAAACCTGGAGCACCCTGAACGCAGCAGCTCCTTCAACGGCCGTTGGAAGTCACCGCGCAGCGTGAGGAGCGAAGACACCGAGGATGCCCTGACGAAAAGCATCTGGTCTCTTGATGCGCGCCCCCGCTGTACTTAGAAGTGGGCTGCTTCTGAGAAGGCTCCGGCCCCACATCCATAGATAGACAAGGCCGCCTTCTAAGAGGCAGGGGTGTTTCTAAGCGGCCCTCCCCCCTCCCCCCCACCCCTCTGCGTGTGGCTGATAGTTTTAGGTCGGGCCTGTCTCCCTACAGGGGGATTTTGGAGGACAAATTAGAAATATTAAGAACATATTCAAAAAATGCACAAGAATAGACATCAAATCGTCCCCGTAATTATTTTTGACTATTTTTGAATCTTCCCTCTGTAGAGGGACAGGCCCAACTTAATGATAGGTGGGATCCCAGAGAATCGGTCAGGAGGGGAATGGAACCGAATCCGCTCAAAATCGGTCCCCCGGACCCCTCCCGCGGGGTCCATCTGTCCGGGGCAGCTTTCCACCCCAGATCCGTTTTCACGGCCCCGGCGCCCGAAAACGGTCCCCAGAGGCCGAAACAAATGAACAACCTTCTCAGACCCAGCCCGCCCTTCGTGCTGGCCGCAACCAGTGCTGAACCACCTCGGATCGGCGGCGAGCGAGGGAGGGGGAAGGAGAAGGCCTTCTTAGACGGCGGCGAGACTTCTCAGTAGCCCTCGCGCCTTCTGAGAAGTTTTCTGTGTCTTCGGGGAAGGCTTAGAAACCTTCCTAAAAGGCTGGGGGACCTCTCAGCCTTCTGAGAAGGCCTTCTCCTTATCACTTCCCCCCCTCGCTCACCGTCGAGCAGACCCCCAGACGGCTCCAACCTGGTAGCGCCGGTGAGCCTTCTGCAGCTGCGCGACGACCTGCTCCCGCAGGTGCGGGTGGTGTGCCTCGTCGCCGTAGAGCTGGTCGGCGAGCGCGCGGAACTGGCAGCACCCGTCGCCCTTTACCGGCCGCTCCCTGACGCCGTGCCTCCGGAGGAGCTTCGTCAGCCGGTGCCGCTTCTGGGCCACCTCCTCTCGGCGGCGAGCCCTCCTCCTCCGTCTCCTCCTCCTCCTCCTCCTCCTCCTCCTCCTCCTCCTCCTCCTCCTCCTCCTCCTCCTTCTCTTTCTCCAAGGGAGATCTGCGGAGGGGCGGGCCTTCTCAGAAGGCTCGGAAGGCCTCGGGCCACCCGAGCAGGTTCCGGAGCCTCGCCCGAAGGCACAGCAGCCCTCCCAGCAGGCGCGAGGGCTTCTGAGAAGCCCCGCCGCCTTCTGAGAAGGCCTGCTCCCTCTCACTTCCCTTAGGTCGGGCCGGTCCCCCATGCAGGGGGCTTCGGGGCGAAAAATGAATGATAGCCGGAGTGCAGTATCCTCAAAAAAAGGAATTTTAAACCCGCTGCGGTTTCCAAGGTCGATTGCGTGCCCGTCCAGTGCGGGCTGGCATGGCATGTTAAAGCATGATAACCTGATGTTTGCACATGAGATGTGTACACGAGAACTTGTGTGACGCATGCCTATAGGAAGCTGACGCTAGAGGGTGTGGTACTCTCTCGCAACTGGTCGACGAGTAAGCTGTTGGGTCGGCACTGTCAGAGGCTCAGTTTTGGCGACATCTTGGAGCTCAATATTTGAAGGATGTCTCAAAAGAAACGGGCCGGACAACCTCTCGCACACGTTCTGACAAGTCCACGTCACACTCGCTTCCCGTTAGGTCCTCTCCTGCAACTCCCTTCCTTCTCCCTCCTCCTCCTCCTCCTCCTCCTCCTCCTCCTCCCCCTCCTCCTGCCTGCTCCCTCATCCACATCATCCTCCTCCTTCTCCCTTCCATCTTCTCTTCCTTCTCCTCCTCCTCCTCCTCTTCATCCCGAACGGCAACTCGGAGCCCAAAGTTGCGAGGATGTCTCCAGCGTAACGGGCTGGACCACCTCGCGCGCGGCATCTCGGACCCCAGAGTTGCGACGATGTCTCGGGCGAAACGTGCTGCGAGGAAGTCTCAGGCGAAACGGGCCGGACCACCTCTCGCGCGGCATCTGGGAGCTCCGAGTTGCGGGGGCCTCCTGGGGTCTCCTGGGGACCTTCTGGGGCTTCCTCCTGGGCCTCCTGTGGCCTCCTAGACCCCACCACGGGCTTCCTGAAGCCTCTTGACATGTGGCCGTCTGGGTCCCCCAAAATCGAGAGGGATCACAAGAGCAGGAAAAATCAACAAATCGACACCGGATGTGTATTACCTTGACACGTTCTGATGGAGGGCTTCCTGGGGCCTCCTGGAAGCCTCCTGGGAATCTCCTGCGGACCCCTGGGGCCTGTCCTGGGCGTCCTGCGGTCTCCTGAAGCTCTCTGGGGCCTCCTGGGGCCTCCTGGGGCTCCCAGGGTCCCATGGGGGATATGTAATTTGTGGTCTTCTGGGCCCCCAGGCTGGACCAGCTTTTGCGCGGCATCTGGGCGCTCAGAGTTGCGAGAATGTCCTGTGCGAAACGGGCTGGACCACCTTGCGCACGGCATCTCAGAGCTCAGAATTGCGAGGATGTCTCGGGAGAGACGGGCCGGACCACCTCGCCGAGGGCATCTCAGAGCTGAGTTGCGAGGATGTCTCAGGCGAAACGGGCTGGACCACGTCGCGCGCGGCATCTCCGAGGTCAGAGTTGCGAGGATGTCTCAGGCGAAATGGGCTGAACCACCTCTTGCGCGGCAGCTCTGAGCTCAGAATTTCGAGGATGTCTCAGGTGAAACGGGCCAGACCACCTCGAGCGCGGCATCTCAGAGCTCAGAGTTCTGAGGATTTCTCAAACAAAACGGACCAGACCACCTCTCGCGCGGCGTTTCGGAATGCAAACGTGCGAGGTTGTCTCAAGTGAAACGGGCCGGACCACCTCTTGGCGGCATCTCAAGGCTTAGAGCATGGAGGGTGTCTCAGGCAAAACAAGACGGACCACCTCGCACGGCATATCAGGGCTCAGAGTTTGGAGGGTGTCTCAGGCGAAACGGGCCAGACGCGGCATCTCGAAGCCCAGAGTTTTGAGGATGTCTCAGGCGAGATTGGCCGGACCACCTCTTGCGCGGCATCTAAGAGCTCAGAGTTTGGAGGATGTCTCAGGCGAAACGGGCCAAACCACCTCTCGCGCGGCATCTGGGAGCTCAGAGTTTCGAGGATGTCTCAGGCGAAACGGGCCAAACCACCTCTTGGCGGCATCTGGGAGCTCAGAGTTTTCGAGGATGTCTCAGGCGAAACGGGCCGGACCACCTCTTGCGCGACAACTGGGAACGCAGAGGTTGGAAGATGTCTCACGCGAAACGCCTAATCCCGGACAACTCAGAAACGAGAGCTGCGAGGATGTCTCAGGCGAAACGGGCTGGACCACCACATTTTTTTGAGGACGTCTCTGCTTTGAATTCCCTCGGCTGGCGTTAGCAAGCTGTTTGGGGAAAAATAGCCAAAACATGTTGCTGCTCGCAAATGGTCAACAAAAATCGCCCCCAGACGATTGTTTGACTATTTGGGAATATTGGAAAGCAAAAAATCCACCCCCATAATAAGCAAGGCCGCTTAGCCAACGCACCCAACGAAGGAACCGCACAGGGCAGGGCTGTTTCACAAAAGCGCCCAGGGCCGTTTCGTAAACGCCAACTATCGGGTCTGGGTGGTTTTTCCTCCCTTGAAATTCCCCCCATGTAGAACCGCAGGGTTCCAAAGGGGGCTCATGGGGGAGGAGGTTTTCCAGAGAGCCCCCCGGGGGCCTCGGAACCTCCTCGAAACGGGGGGTGCGAAGCCCCTGCAGGGGACCCCTCCTGCAGCCCCCCCTCCCCCCAAAACTCCTTTTGGAACCCTCCGGTAGCAGGGCACGCCCGCCTCAACGCTTCCCCCTCCCCTTATGTCGGGCCAGTCCCCCTACAGGGGGATTTTCGACGAAAAATAAAAAATACCCCAAAAAGGTAAGAACAATATTCAAAAAATAGTCCCCAGACTATGTTTGGTTAATCTTTTGACTATCTTTGGGGGTATCTTTCATTTCTCGTCAAAAAACCCCCTGTATGGGGGACAGGCTCGACTTCCCCCTCCCCCCTGGGCGCGCCGCCGCTCCTCGTCCGGAGGGCCCGACGCAGCGGGCGACGGCCGCTTCTCCACCACCTCGAGGGGGGGGGCCGCCGCCGGCGCATCCGCACCGCCCCCCGGCGTCGGCGGTGCATCCGCGGCGTCGGCGCCGAGAGCATCTCGGCGGCGAGCGAGGGGGGGAATAGTGCGGAGGAGGCCTTCGCAGAAGGCGGCGGGACTTTTCGGAAGCCCTCCGCCTTCTGCGGAGCTTGTTTCTGCCTTCGGGGGAGGCTCAGAACACTTCTCGGAAGGCCGGGGGACCTCCGAACCTTCCGAGAAGGCCTTCTCCTTCGCATTTCCCCCCCTCGCTCGCCGCCGAACATCGGCACCCACGTCGAGCCGCATCGCAGACCCAGAGATCCAACGTATTGTAAAAATAATGACGGAGGTTTTTCGTATCTTTCGGTCTCTAAAGGCCCTCGCCGGGCCTCGGGACCTTCAAAAAACGACTCAGGATGGAAAACCGGTCCTGGGGAATTGGTCGAGACTTCCAGGGACCCCGTATTGAAAAAATCACGACATCGGATCTCTGGGGATGCGTCGCCGATGCGGCGCGATCCGCCGACTTCACTCTTCTTCGACCCAGTTTGGGCGGCGTGGGACCTTCGGCTCCAGGGGTACGGCCTTCCAGAAGGAGCCGTAGGCCTGGCTCGAGGTCGCCCAGCACGAGTCCTTCGGCGACTCCGAGGGGTGTGGTTTGCAAAGGGTGCGGCTTGCAGCAGGCATCCTTGGTGGCGGGCGAGGCCCTCGACGGAGCTCTCCGCCGCGCCCCGGGGAGGCCCGACGAGGGCAGCGTGGTGCCTCCCCTCCCCCCTCAGCCCCAACGGACGCAGATCGCAAGCCACACCCCGGCGTGGCCACAGCCTTCCCAGACCCCCGTCGTCATGATTTTTTCGCACCGTCGAACCCTAGAGGTCTGCACCCCTTCCGCGGGGCAGGTTTTTCATCCTGAGTCGTTTTTGGACGGCCCCGGGGCCAGGCAAGGGCCCCCAGAGATCCACAATAGCGAAAAACCTCCCGTCGCGATTTTGTCACAACGCGAGGAGGTCTGTGGCGCAGCCACACCCCCCAACGAATACGACGACGACGACGGCAGCGGCAGCGACGACGGCGATGACGACGACGACCACGACGACGACGACGACGACGACACCGACGACGACCACGACGGCGACGGCGACGGCGACAACGACGACGACGACCACGACGACGACAACGACCACGACGACGACCACGACGACGACCACGACGACGAAGACGACGACCACGACGGCGACGGCGGAGGCGACGTCCACGACGACGACCACGACGACGACGACGACCATGGCGACGACGACGACGACGACGACGGCGACGGCGGCGACCACGACGACGACGACGACCACGACGACGACGACCACGGCGACGACGAAGACGACGACGGCGGCGGCGGCTGCGGCAACGACGACGACCACGACAACGACGACACCGACGACGACCACGACCACGACGACGACGATGACGACGACAACGACGACGACGACGATCACGACGCCGACGACGACCACGACGGCGGCGACGACGACGACAACCACGACGACCACGACAACGACGACGGCGGGGGCGCCGACGACGACGACGACAACGACGAGGACGACAACGACGACCAGGACGGCGACGACCCCGACGACGACCACGTCGACGACGACGACCACGTCGACGACGACGACCACGATGGCGGCGGCGACGACAACGACCACGAAGACGACGACGACCACGACGGCGACGACGACGACGGCGGTGGCGGCGACGACGACGACGACAACGAAGACGACAACGACGGCGACGACGACCACGACGGCGACGACGACGACGACCACGACGGCGACGATGACGACGACAAAAGCGGCGGCGACGACAACGTCGACGACCACGACGACGACGACGACGAGGGCGACGGTGACGACGACGACGACGATCACGACGATCACGATGACGACGACGGCAACGACGACGACGACGACGGCGACGACGGCGACGACGACGACGACGACGGCGACGAAGATGACGACGACGACCAGGATTATGGCAGCAGCAGAAGCATCGGCGACGACGACGACCACGGTGACGACGACGACGACGACGACAACCACGACGGCGACGACGACGACGACGACAACGTCAATCACGACTGCGACGACGACGACGACTACAACGACGACGACGACCAAGACGACGACGACGACCACGACGACGACGACGAAGACCAAGACGACGACGACCACGACCACGACGACGGCGGCGGCGGCGACGAGGATGACGACGGCGTCGACCACAACGGCAACGACGACGACGACGACGACGGCGGCGGCGGCGACGACGACGACGGCGACGACATCGACGACGACGACGGCGGCGACGACGACGACCAAGACGACCACGACGACGGCGACGGCGACGACGACGACGGCGGCGACGGCCACGACGACGACGACGACCACGACGACGATGACGACAACGACATCCACGACGGCGACGACGACGACGACCACGACGGCGACGGCGACGACCACGACGGCGACGACGACGATGGCGACCACGACGGCGACGGCGACGACGACGACAACGACGGCGACGACGGCGACCACGACGACCAACACGACGATCACGACCACGGCGACCACGGCGACCACGGCGACCACGGCGACCACCACGACGGCGACCACGACGACGACGACGTCGACGACGACGGCGGCGGCGACGACGACGACATCGACGACGACGACGACCACAACGACAACGACGGCGACGACGACGACAACCACGACGGCGACGACGACGACGACAACGACAACCACAACGGCGACGACGACGACGACGCCACCGACGACCACGACGGCGTCGACGACGAGGACGACGGCGGCGGCGGCGACGACGACGTCGACGACGACCACGACGACGACGACCACGACGACGACGGCGACGGCGACGACGACGACCACGACGGCGACGACGACGACGGCGACGAAGACGACGACCACGACGACGACGACAACGACGACAACAACGGCGACGACCACGACTACGACGACCACGACAACGACCACGACGACGACGACGACGTCGACGGCGGCAGGGGCGGCGACGTCAACGACAACGACGACGACCACGACGACGACGACGACGACCACGATGGCGACGATGGCGACGACGACGACGACGACGGCGGCGGCGGCGACGACGACGACGACGGCGACGGCGACGACGACGACGACCACGACGGCGACGACGACGCCGACGACGACCACTACGACGACGACGACCACGCCGACCACGACGACCAAGACGACGACCATGACGACGACGACGACGACGGCGACGATGCCGGCGGCGGCGGCGACGACGACAACGTTGACGCCGGCGGCGGCCACGAGGGCGACGACATCGAGGACAACGACGGCGACGACGACCACGACGACGACCACGACGACTACCACGATGGCGACGGCGACGACGACGACCACCGCAGCGGCGGCGACGACGGCAAAGGCAACGACGACGACGACCACGACGGCGACGACCCCGACGACGACGCCGACGACGACCACGACGACGACGACGGCGACGACGACGACGACGGCGGCGGCAGCGGCGACGACGACGACGACGACGACGACCACGACGACCACGAGGACGACGTCGCCGACGACGAACATGATGGCGACCACGACCACGGCGGTGACCACGACGGCGACGGCGGCGGCGACGACGGCAACGACAACGATGACAACGACGACGACCACAACGACCAAGACGACGACGACGCCGACGACGACGACGCCGACGACGGCGACGACAACCTCGATAGCGACGACGACGGCGACGACAACGACAACCATGACGGCGTCAACGACGACCGAGATAACCACTACGACGTTGACGACGACGGCGACGACGACATCGACGACGACGACAACGACGACGACGACCACGACGACGATGACGACGACGACGACGACGGCGATAACGATATCCACGACGGCGACGACGACGACCACGACGGCGACGCCAACGACGACGACGGCGACGGCGACCACGACGACGACGACGACAACGACGACAACGACGGCGACGACGGCGACCACGACGACCACGACGACGACCACGACGACCACGACGACGTCGACGCGACGACGGCGGTGGCGACGGCAACGACGACGACGACCACGACGACGACCACGACGCCGACGACGATCATGACGGCGTCGACGACGACATCGACGACGACGACGGCGGCGACGGCGACGACGACGACGACGATCACGACGACGACGGCGACGACGACGACAACGACGTCCACGACGGCGACCACGACGACAACCACGACGGCGACGAAGACGACGACGACGGCGATGACGACGTCGACCACGACGACGACGACAACGACAACGACGGCGACGACGGCATCGACGACGACACGACGACGACCACAATGGCGACGACGACGACGACGACGGCGGCGACGATGGCGGCGGCGATGACGGCAACGACAACATCGACGACGACGACGAAGACCACGACGACGACGCCGACGACGACCACGATGGCGAAGACGGCGACGACGACGACGACGACGACGACGGCGGCGGCGGCGACGACGACGACGGCGACGACGACGACGACGACAACGACGACCACGACGGCGACGACGACGCCGACGCCGACCACGACGGCGGCGACGGCGACGGCGACGACGTCGGCGGTGGCGGCCACGACGGCGACGACGACGACACCGACGACAACGACGGCGACGACCGCGACGACGACGACCACGACGACGACCACGGTGGCGACGACGACGACGACGACCACGGCGGCGGCGGCGACGGCGACAACGACGACGACGACGACCGCGACGACCACGACGACGACGACCACGACGACCACGACGACCACGACGGCGACGATCACGCCGACGACGACCACGACGGCGGCGGCGGCGACGACGACGACGACGCCGGCGGCGGCCACAACGGCGACGACAACGACGACGACAACGACGACAACGACGGCGACGGCGACCACGACGGCGACCACGACAACGACCACGATGGCAACGACGACGAAGACGACGAACACGGCGGTGGCGGCGACGATGGCAACGATAACGACGACAACGACGACAACGATGACCACGACGACGACGAACACGACCTCGACCACGACGGCGGCGGCGACGACGACGACGGCGGCGGCGGCGATGACGACGACGACGACGACGACAACGACGAAGATCACGACGACCACGACGGCGACGACGACGACGACCACGATGGTGACGACGACCACGACGACGACGACGACGACGGCGGCGTCGGCGGCGACGACGGCAACGACAACGACGACGACGACAATGGCGACCAAGACGACGACGACACCGCCGCCGACGACGACCACGACGACAACGACGACGGCGACGACGACGACGACGACGACGACGGCGGCGGCGGGGACGACGACGACCACGACGACGTCGACGACCTCGACGACCACGACGGCGACGACGACGCCGACGACGACCACGTCGGCGGCGACGGCGACGACGCCGATGACGACGGCGGCGGCGGCCACGACGGCGACGACGACGACGACAACGACAACGACGGCGACGACGGCGACGACCACAACGATAACCACGATGGCGACGACGACGACGACGGCGGTGGCGGCGACGACAACGACGACGACGACGACCACGACGACGTCGACGCCGATGACGACCCCAACGACGACGACGGCGACGACCAAGACGACGGCTGCGGCGGCGACCACGACGGCCACGACCACGACAACAACGACGACGACCACGACGGCGACGACGACGCTGAAGACGACCAAAACGGCGGCGACGGCGACGACGACGACGACGCCGGCGGCGGCGGCGACGACGGCAACGACGACGACCACGACGGGAACGACGACCACGACAACGACCACGACGACGACCATGATGGCGGCGACGACGACGAAGACGACGACCACGGCAGCGGCGGCGACGACAGCAACGACAACGACGACGACTACGACGACCACAACGACGACGACGCACACGACGACCACGACGGCGTCAACGGCGACGACGACGACGACGACGACGGCGGCGGCGACGACAACGAAGACGACGACGACGACCACGACGACGACCACGACGACGACGACGCCGACGACGACCACGATGGCGACGACGACGACCACGACGACGACGACGACGACGACGACGACGACGACGACGGCGGCGGCGGCGACGACGGCAACGGCAACGACCACGACGACCAAGAAGACGACGACGCCGACGACCACGACGACAACGACGACGGCGACAAAGACGACGCCGGCGGCGACGGCGACGACGACCACGACGATCATGACGACGACGACGACCACGATGGCGACGACGACGACGACGACGACGACGACGACGGCGGCGGCGACGACGGCAACGACGACGCAGACGACGACGACCACGCGGACCACGCCAACGACGACGCCGACGACGACTACGACGATGGCGACGACGGAGACGACGACGACGGCGGCGGCGGCGACGACGACGACAAAGACGACGATGACCGCGACAACCATGACGGCGACGACGACGCCGACGACGATCACGACGACCACGACGGCGACGACGACGACGACGATGGCGGCGGCGACCATGACGGTGACGACGACGACAACGACGACGACAACGACGGCGACGACCACGACGACGACCACGATGGCGACGACGACGACGACCACGGCGGCGGCGGTGACGACGACAACGACGACGGCGACGACCACGACGACCACGACGACAACGACCACGATGACCACGACGACGACAACTGCGACGACGACGACGACAACGGCGGCGGCGGCGACGACGACGACAACGACGACGACGGCGACGAAGACCACGACGAACAAGACGACGACGCCGACGACGACCACGACGGCGACGACGGCGACGACGACCTCGACAGCGACGACGGCGACGACGACGACGACGGCGACGGCGGCGACGACGGCAACGACAACGACGACGACGGCGAAGACCACGACGACCACGGCGACGACCACGACGATGACGATGACGCCGACGACGACCACGACTGCGACGACGACGACGACGACGACGACGACGACGACGGCGGGCGCGGCGGCGACGACGACGACGAGTCGCCGAGTCGCCACCGAGCCGCCCGGCCGCGGGGCCCCCGCGGCGGCCGGGGCCAGGCGGCGGGGCGGCCCTCTGGAGGCCCCGCGCGTCGCCCGCCGCGGGCACCTCCGCCGGGGGCCCTGGGACACACAAATAAATACACACAAATCGTCCCCAGACTACTTTTTAACTATTTTTGAATACTCCCCTACTTTTTGACTGTTTTTGAATACTCCCCCTGTAGATGCACAGGCCCGACTTAAAACCCTAGTACGGGCGCTAGCCTTACCCAGGGTCGGGGGGCGGGGGCTGGCCCGGGTAACGAGCGTTACTAAAGGGGCCCTGGGACACACAAATAAATACACACGAATGAAAAGATTCCCCATATTTTTTCCTATATTTTCTGGGTTTTTGTCTTCCCCACCACTTCCCATGTTTTCCTACATTTCCTGGGGGATCGACGATTCATTGTGCCTGTGTGTTTTTTTCCCTCCTGAACCTCCGCCAGGGGGTCGGGCGCGGGGGCCACGGCGCCGGCCCGCACCATGGCCGCCGCGGGCGCGGGGGGGGGCGCAGGCCCACAGCTGGCGCCGGCGCCATGGAACCACCAGGGTGACGGAGCTGGAGGAGGAGGAGGAGGAGGAGGAGGAGGAGGAGGAGGAGGAGGAGGAGGAGGAGGCTGGAGGAGGAGGAGGAGGAGGAGGAGGAGGAGGAGGAGGAGGAGGAGGAGGCTGGAGGAGGAGGAGGAGGCTGGAGGAGGGAAGGGGGCTCGCGGAGGGATGGGGAGGAGGAGGGAGGGAGGAGGCGGAGGCAGGAGGGCGGGAGGGCGCAGCACGAGGAGAGAAGCGCAGGCCTCCCGTGCGGCAGCACCAGCCGGGCGACGATCGGCCGCTCGCCCTCCGGGAGGGTCTGGTGCGGCGCGCCGGCCTCCTCGCAGAGAGGGGGACGTACATCTTGGGCGATGCTTAAGAAAACCTAAGTTTTCGTCCAGAGTCTCGATGATTCTTAATTTTTCAATGTAAATCCGAAGATTTTGATAGAAGTTCTGGGTTTTATTCAATTTCTGAGACTATGAGTTTCTTAATCCATGATTTCTTAAGCATTTCGCAGGGTGTAGGAGGTGGGGTCGGGGCAGGGGTGGGGTTTGGGAGGGAGGCCGCTCCAGACGGGCCCTGGTAGCAGGAATTGTGAGCATCCGGCAGGCCGATGTCGGAAGCCCTGGGCCCAAAACTGCTGCTGGGATATGCCAGCTTGCTTCGGCCGGCCTCCGCCGCGAACTTCCGCCAGCTTCCGCCGGCGACGGCGGCCTCGTTTTACTTCCGCCGCCCCTCCGCCGAGGATGAGATGGCGGCTCTTTCGATCCTACGCCTCAGTTGAGCTCGCGTCCTGACTCGACCTTGGGATAACCCCCTTCTACGAACCCCGAGGTCCTCGCAGAGGGGCAGGAGGCTGGGTCGACGAAGGGATCGGCTACAGAATCGATTTTGCCCACAGATTAATTCCTACCTAGGCTCTGCCTAGAGGGTTCTTACTCTCTTAGCTTAAAGGGGCCGGGCAGTGCAAAGCGCCCCGGGCGGTTCCCCCAGTCCCCGCCCCGCGGTTCCCCCAGTCTCCTGGGAGCTTTAGCTTTAGCTTTAGCTTAGCTTTAGCTTAGCTGTAGCTTAGCTTTAGTTTAGCGTTTTGCGTAGCTTTTCGCTTAGCGTTTAGCTTAGCTTTAGCTTAGCTCTAGCTTAGCTCTAGCTTAGCTGTAGCTTAGCTTTAGCTTAGCTTTAGCTTAGCTTTAGCTTAGCTTTAGCTTAGCTTTAGCTTAGCTGTAGCTCAGATTTAGCTTAGCTGTTGCTCAGCTTTAGCTTAGCTTTAGCTTAGCTTTAGCTTAGCTTTAGCTTAGCTGTGGCTTAGCTTTAGCGTAGCTTAGCTTAGCTTTAGCTTAGCGTTACTGTTACTACTAATGCTGCTTTCCTAGGGGTTCCAACTCCTAGGTAGGGTCGCACTGGGATAATTTGTTTCTCGGACGTTGGCGGGACTGGGTCTAGTGGGACCTGGTTCAACGATGTGTACCGAGGGGCGCCCCCCACGCCCCTTTCCACTGACCGGAACTGCCGTGTCACGAAGAACAAGCAGCTACGGGGTTCGGGGCCCAAGCACGAACCAGATCCCCTTCATCGGCGCCCTGGTTGTACCCGATGTTCGTCGAATCTACGAACGAATAATAAAGTGTTCCGTAGATCTACGAACATGAGAATTCATTTTTCGTAGATCCAGATCAGATCAGAACATCAGTTCTGGGGTAAGTCAATTCTGTCATCGATCCCCTATTCGAAGCGTTGGGGCGGAGGTGCGAAGGCTCCAGAAGAGGGGGGCGTCGTCGCTGTCCTCCTCAAGACTCAAGACTGCGGACTTGTCTCCGAATCAGGAAGAGCCTTAGAGGCCCTCCCGCTGGCGATGCCTCGTCGTCGTCGTCGTCGTCGTCGTCCTACTCCTCCTCCTTCTCCTCCCCCTCCTCCTTCTCCTCTCCCTCCTCCTCCTCCTCCTCCTACTCTTCCTCACCCCTCGTTTTTCTCCTCAGTTTCCCCCCCCTCCTTCTCCGTCTCCTGCTCCTTCTGGAGGCATCCTGGGAGCTCTGGGCTTCGTTTCTATGGGCTCCTATGGATTTCTATCGGCTCCTGTGGATTTCTACGTTTTCCTCTCACACTCGCCTTGGTTGCCACACTCTTTCCAGTGACTGCTAGATGTCTACAGGCTTCTGTGGCTTTCCATAGCTCCACTGGCCTGGCCCTGGTTGCAGCACTTTTTCTGGTGGCCGCTTGGATTCCAATGGGCTCCTGTTGATACGCATGACCTCCGAAGCGGACGAGGAGATGATGGACGATCGATTCGAGGGCCGAGGATTTAAGGTCGAAGCTGTTTGACTTACCTCTCATTTTTGGGGACTTTTTGGGACCTCGGGAGGCCTCTGGTGCATGTGCTGCAAGAGCGTACGTTGCACCCCATGCATCTTATACAGAAGATTGATACGAGCCCCCCTTAACGTGGCAAATCCCTAACCCAACCTGACCCAAGCCCTGTCGATAGTGCGTCAAAACTAAACTGACCCATGGAAGCTGATGTGACCAACGGCACGGCGACACCAGGCACGCGCGCGCGTTGTAGCAAATGATGCGCCAGAATGGGGCGACACAGCAACATGCAATGCACCAGCATGAGGCGACACAGCAGCATGGCCGCCGCCTAGGCGGTATATTTAATTGGACACGTGACTCGCGCCATAGCGAGAACAACATGCTCAGTGAAAGATGTGGCTGGCGGTTAGGCGACGGCAGCATATTTCATCAGATATGTGGCAGTAGCCATGGCGAGAACGATATCCTCAATGAAAGACGTCGCTGGCGCCGAAGCAGTAACATGTTTAATCAGACATGTGGCCTGCGCCAAGGTGAGAACGACATGCTGAATGAAGGATGTCGCCGGCGCCTAGGCGACAGCCGCATGTGGCCCGCGCGCAAGCCGGAACATCATTCTGAGACAAGCGTGTCGCCAGAATGCAGGTGCCACGTCCGTTCCGCGCGGGCCGGGCTCGGTGTCACCCAAGTCCAACTTACATTATATAAGTGGGTTGCACGTTGAGGGGAGGGGGTCTGTAAACTTTACGTCCAGGACAAGGCCAGGGTTAACCTTGTTTCAGTGCCACGTGCTTCCCCAGACTTTTTCTGAACGATCGTGTATCCGACAAGAGGGACTCACACAGGTCCACCGATACAAATATCGATGTCCCTTAACCGTTTTGCTAAATTCGCCGGCCCAACGGGCCAGAGGTGCGCTAAGATCCCCAGTAACAATTAAACCGTATAACAAGTTCGCGCGCGCGAGGCGGCCCCTGGGGGCCCCGACGCGACAAGTACCCCGCCAAAATCCTGGCAAGTGCCTGCCAGATAGGAGGCCCCCCAGACGGTCCATGAGGCGCCCAAGACAACCTCAAGAGAGCGCCCAGACGGTCCAAGAGCCCTTGGAGTCCTTGAAAGATCGGCCGACGATGCCACAAGATCGCTCCAAGACGCCCACCATGGCCTCCAGACGCCCCCAAAGGCCTCCAAAAGCCCCCAAGAGGACCACAAGAGGCAAACAACATTGTTTTGCATTGATTTTGGCCACATGTTCGGGTTTCTCCTTTTTCGGCTTCCCGACGCTCCAAAATAGCCAAACAGGCTCCCAAGATCGCCACAAAAGGGTCCAAGAGGACCCCAAGATAGCCCCAAGACGGCCCAAGATGCCCCCAAAACAACCCAATATGCGCCCAAGGCGGCCCAAGAGAGCCCCAAAACGGCCCCACGAAGGGCCCAAGAAGGTAACCAGGAACCGAAAAGTCCAGCCAGCAGTCCCAGGAAGCCCCCAGGAGGCCCCCAAGAGGCCCCCAATAGACTCACCCCCAAAAGCCCCAAGAGGCCCCCAAGAGGCCCCAAGTGGTCCCAACGCGGCCCCAGGAGAGGAGGAGAGAGGAGGAGGGAGGAGAGAGGAGGAGAAGGAGGAGGAGCGATTTCAGCGGTTTCGCATCTCGCACGCTGCGAGTTTCGCGGCGGTGCCGCCGCGCGCGCCGCCCTCCCCGCGGCGGCTTGCACTCTGGAGGTCGCGGCCCTGGGGCCCACCTCCTCTCCGCTCGCATCTTGCGGATGCGAGCGGGGCACTGATGGCGAGCGCGTCCTTCGCGGTGCCCACAATCCGCCCCCGAGATCCTCGGCGCCCCGCGCGGGGCCCTCGGGGCGTGAGCCCCGAGCACCCCGCGCGACATGCCTTCCAAGGGTGGCGGCAGTACCTGGACCCGACCCAGTGGTCTTGCCGTGCTTGATATTGTGCTGCTGCTGCTCGTCGTGCTGGTCGCAGTTTTGCCGCTGGCCGACGTGCGCTGTTGGCCCTCGTCCACGCGGCAGCTGGTGCTCGTCGTTGTAGTGGTCCTGCTGGCGTTGCGTCGGCTGCGCATGGCGGTGGCTGCCGTGGTCGCCTCCTTGCCCGCTGGCTGCGGCGAGGAGGCGCTGCGTCCAGCGTCTACGTCGGTCTTCTGCACTCTGTGCCATGTCTTCCGTTGTTCGCTGTGTTCGCGCTTGTGGAGGTCGCTTGGTCGCTCCAGGCATCGA